TGAGTAGTACGTGGAGTCTACTAAAGTAATAAGTAGAAGCTCATTCAGTAGTAAGTGGAGTATAGTGAATAGCAAGTAGAAGTTTATTGAGTAGTAAATGACACCAAAACTAGGTAATAAGTGAACTGTAATGAAATAGTAAGTGGAAACTCATTGAGTAGTAAGTGAAACCAAAATTGAGTAGATGGTAGAGTCTAGCGAAGTAGTAAGTGGAAGCTCATTAAGTAGTAACTGAAGCTAAAATTGAGTAGTAAGTGAAGTGTAATAAAATAGTAAGTAGAAACTCATTAAGTAGTAAGTAAAGTCTAGTGCAATAGTAAGTGGAAACTTATTGAGTAGTAAGTGGAGTATAGTGAAATAGCAAGTAGAAGCTCATTGAGTAGTAAGTGGAGTTTAGTGAAGTAGGATGTAGGAAGTGGAAACTCATTGAGTAGTAAGTGAAACCAAAATTGAGTAAATAGTGGAGTCTATTGAAGTAGTAAGTGGAAGCTCATTGAGTAATAAGTTAAACCAAAATTAAGTAGTCAGTGAAGTGTAATGAAATAGTAAGTGGAAACTCATTGAGTAGTAAGTGGAGTATAGTAAAGTAGCAAGTGGAAGCTCATTGAGTAGTAAGTGAAATTAAAATTGAGTAGTATGTGGAGTCTAGTGAAGTAGTAAGTGAAAGCTCATTAAGTATTAAGTGGGAACTCAATGAATATTTTTCAATTTTTTTGGGACAATGATAAATTTGATGAAATAGTAAATAAAATCTAATTGAGTAGTAAGTGAGATTTAATTAACTAGTATGTCAAGTCCAATTAAGTGATATCATATTAAGTAGTAAGTCATGTTTGATTGAGTAATAAATGGAGTTTGATTGAGTAGCAGTAGTGATATAATGGTGAAGGTGATGGTGATGGTGGTAGTAGTGATGGTGATAGTGGTAGTAGTGATAGTGGCATGGTGATGACAGTGGTAGTGATAAGAGTGGCATGGTGGTAGTAGTGGCGGCAGTAGTGGCATGGTAGCGTTGATGGTGGTGGTGATGGTGGTAGATGTAGCAATGGTAGTGATAGTAAAATTTTAATGATGTTGATAGCAACAATGACAATGATAATGTAGATGGTGGTAGTAGTGGTGGTGGTGGTGATGGTAGAAGCAGCGATAGTTGAGTAGTAAGTCAAGTTTGATTGAATAATTTGTGAAATCTTGTTGACTAGGAAGTGAGATTTAATCAAGTAATACGTTAATCTGATTTAGTAGTAAGTGAAGTCTCAATGAGAATGATAAATGAAAATTATTTAGTAATTTTTACAAATTCAAATATTTTTAAAAACTACCTAACATGTCCAAATAATTTATTTAATAATTTAATGTAGTAGTAAATTATGTTTAATTAAATAACATTATTTTTCTATTCATGCAACTAATAAAATAACTATTGAGAAATTAGCTAAATTTTATTTAAATTAATAAATTTTGAAGAAAAATCAATATAATTATGTCAAATTTTAGGGTACTTAATATATTTTTTAAACCTTAAAAAAGATTAGTATAATTTTTATATAAATAATTTAATGTGAAACATTATATAAATGTCATACCATTAAAAAAAAATTCTAGGTGCAGGGGCGCCACGTGACCATATCCATTGTCAATTACAAACCACCATGCCCTTGTTATTCCCCAATCATCCAATACAAAATTATAGATCATACCTCCTCCACCAATCACAACAAATTTAGGACATTACGTAACCGTGCCCCATGACCACCAAATAACTTCACCATACCACCGGTTAGTTCCAATATATATATATATATATATATCAAGTCACATCACATCTCCGGTAAAACCAGTGGCACCCGATGACAACCCTTCTTTATTAGAATATTACTTTTTTGTATAGTACATGAAAACCACATTCATGTACTGTAGTTGGACCGAAAACTTCAAGGGATTTTCTGTAATTGTCATAAACCTTAGGGAAGGTTAGTATAATTTGCCCTAAGATTACCTGTTTGCCAACAATTAAAATTGTCTATTCTTTTGTTTTTTTTTTCAATATTTTGTTTTTTAATTTGTCAATCTGTAATATTTTTTCAGTCTAAAAAGGATATAAAAAGTATACTTTTAAAAATATATTAAAAAATACTTTATTATTATTGTCTTCTGGGAATGTTTTGTTTTGTTTTTTGTATTTTGATTTTGTTTTTGTTTTTATAAGTCTGACTGGTAGTTAAAAAAAATAAAAAATTATTTAAGATAAAGATTATTTAATAAAAAAACTGTAAAAAAATAATTACCAAACCCACTCAAAGTAGAAAAGGGAATTCAAAAGAGTGCTGCTATTAGCACCTATCAAAATTCTTTAGACCCCCCATTTCTTTGGACCCCAACCCTAAACCCTAAATTTTAATAATATTTTTTTGGACACCCCACTTATTACCAAATCTACTCATATTCATAATATTTTCACAATGAAATGCACATCCACCTAATTTTTCATCCCTCTCCTTCCCTGACTCACTCAATCTTCAGAGTTTGGAGCTTTGGTCCAGTATAGAATTCTTGGACCCCAACCCTCCATCACTCTCATCTCCGTCTCGGCCGTCAACGGAGCATTCCGACGACTCTCATCTTCTCTGAACGCTCTCCGTATCGCCGAATCAGTAACCTCTCTCATCCTCTCATCATCATCTTCTTCGTTACTTTTTGTATCTTCGTCATAGCTGAGATCGATCGAAGATCTACGAGATTTGCATAACCGTTTGCAAGATGAGGAAAACCAGAATCATCGTCTGAATCGCCATCAGAATCATTGTCTGAATCGCCATCAGAATTCTGAATGTAGCCCAAAACAATTTGTTCACCACTGTGTAGCCGAAAAAATGTATTTTGTTCAGAACTGTTTTGTCGAACAATAATGATCCTATCAGCACTGTATGTCCAAACAAAATTTTTTCATCACTGTGTAACTTGAATCCATTCTAATTCACAACTTAAAATAACATGAATTAAATTCATTCAAAGTACATAACTTAAATCCATTTTAATTCACTATTTTCCATTCTAAGTTAGTTTAACAAAGAAAATTACATAACTGACTATCTGCATTAATGTTCAGAACCTATGTATTGAACGAAATGATTATGTTCAGCATTGTATTACCGAATATAATTCTAACAGTCAGCAAACCAGTACCGAACAGCTCGAACGAAATTAGAACGACCGAAAACGACCGAGAATGTTCATACAAGACAGATAAACTTATTAATGGAACGCTGGTCTCACTAGAATTGTTGTCCTTGTCTTTCATTGCTCTACACAGTGAAATAAGTGATGAAGTATACGTTATACTTGAAGCAAAACTTTCAAGTTCAATAACGTTGATGATAGTAATGAAGATGACACATTCAGGATTTAAGATGATTATGAAAAATAATAGATTTAAGATTTATATTAGTTGGTTATGAAAAGTAATAGGTTTAGGGTTTACAAACATGGAATACGTATAATTGGAGTTGGAGTTGGGTGTGGGGGTAGGGGTGGGTGTCCAATATTATAGAGTATTAGTTCTTATTAATAGGTGAGTGTTCCATTTAATAATGTCTTTTAATATAATTTTACTTTATGGTATAATTGTAATAAAAAGAAATTATAAAATGGGGAGTTCAAAGAATTTTGACAGGTACTAATAGCAGCACTCATTCAAAAAGCAGAAAAAGAAACAATGATGAAAAAGTAAAAAGATACGTTATTAAAATAAAGAACAAATGCAATAAAAAAAAGAAATAGAAGTGGATACGAATGATGAGGAAATGGGGTATTTATAAAAATAAATGACAATTGTAAATTAAAATAAATATAAGGTTAGGTTTGGTATCTTCTAAAAAAGTTAAAAAATCACTATCATATTTAAGTCACATCATCTTATTTAAGTCACATCACTTTTCTACCACATCACTTCAAACCCAACTCATATTTCATAAAAAGTCAAAAAGTGCACTTATTTAGAATATTCCAAACAACCCCTAAATGCAAGTTGATAAAAAGGTTAACGATATCCAATTAATTTAATTTTTTACAAGTATATTCTACTTCATATACTCTAAAATGTAAAAGATTCAGATCATCAAAACGAGTCCCCGAAATAAACCCATACTGCTGTGCTCCACAGCACAGCAGCCACCCCAGATGCGAGTGGTGTACCCAGTATTGAACTGCTCGAACCATAAAAGGGACAAATGCACATTTGCTTCCCTTTTCCTTTTTTTTTTTTTAATATTTTTTTGCAATAACAAAAAAGAATTATTTCATTTTTAAAACAAAAAAAATAAAATAAAATAAAATACATGATATAAAGAGCAGCTATTTTCATTTTTCAGCTTTTCTTCTTATTTCAAGATCAATTCCTCTCCCAATTATGCCATGTGCAACAAGTTTCGCGGGGGGTGGGGGGGAATTTTTTTTTTTTGGTAAATTGGATATCCGGGCTAAGTTACACGCATCTCGACTAATCTTGAGAGACCAATCCCACCACACACTTGTGGGACTCCATTTAAAATAAGAGCAATCACCCTGTATAGACTGGTTCCAAGAATTTATTATAACTAGTGATTATTGAAGCTCAAGAATTGGCCTAGTTGGTACAACTTAGGGCCTGGGGAACATCATGTTTCATTCATAACCGTTAATACACTATGGAGAAACAATTCACCTTTAAAAAAAATTGCAACACTTGAATGCAAAATTTGCACTGGAGATGCTTTATGTAATGACGCCAATGACTTAAATCTCATGTAAAAGTAAAAGTAAAAATAAAATAAAAATTCCCTACTCAAAAACCTAGAGTTCAGCATCAATCCAAGCAGAAAGCAGCCTAAGCACAGTTGCTGTCTAGTACACTAGCATTTGCAAGTTCTGGAATTCAAATCTGTCCCTAATCCATGCTTGCAATATTCATTAACACACCTAGCTCAGTCAAACAGAGTGCAATGCAGCATGACAGCAGAAGATGAAGAATGCTATTATTTTATTATATTCTCTAATTTAAAAGTTAAACACAAAGGACCATGATTCCATGTTAAAACACAAATTAGAAACAAAAATAAGGAATAGTAAGATAATAGTTTCTTTCTTCTTTCTTGGTTCTTGGTAGTTTAGTACTGATGCCACCCTTCTTTTTGCTCTAAAGCTATATATACTACTAGTACTAGAGCCTTGATTGGGCACCTTTCTTCCCGGGAATCTGCAATGCATCGTAATGGCCAAAGCCATGATATAGTACTTTGATGGGATTCTCCTTGCCGTACTCTTGCCCATACTCTGCAATGCTTATCAACCCACCAGAATCCTCATCGTACATGTACACTGTTATTGGCATCCTGCACTCATCAGATCATTAGTTCAGCCAGTGTTCAATGTCACCAATTTTTTTTTTTGTTCAGGACTTTAAAAATAAAACCAAAACCATTTTAAGATAAAGTCATAAGAAAAGATTGGAAAGGTCTCAAAGATTCTAGAATCCAAAATGTTTGTTTCTGATGTCTCTAAGATAAAGTCATAAGAAAAGATTGGAAGAGTTCTATGATGTCACTGACCTTGCGATAAATTTCCAAAATGTTTGTTTTTGCTAACATTCTCCAAGTAGGAGAGCTCTGGAACTGAGCCATAAATACAATATCCCTCTCACTAACAACTTGGTGTTCCTCTATTTTCATTACGCCTATCATTGAGAAAATCCAATTGAAACCTTCTAGATGGAAGACTAATGAGAGGGGAATTTGTGCCAATCAATGGCCGAGCTAAACCAACACAAGATATAGTGTTAGACCAAGCTAGACCAGCACGGGGACATAATGTTGGGCCGAGCTAAACCAACACGGGACATGGTGTTGGGCCGAGCTAAACCTACGGTCCTCGGCATCGTGCCGAAATAAGCCATGCTTGGGCCGCAAAAAAGGGCCAAGCTAGGCGTGGTTTGGGCCGCAAGCAAGGACCGGGGTAGAATGAAGACAGGCCGTGGTCTATGGCTAGGATGATGATTGACATGCCGAAGAGATTGACCGGTCTAGGAGTACGAGGCCCTTATGGCATTGACCGAGCATGGGGCCGGGGAGCCGGCCTAGTTCAGATCGGCTCAAGGATGTCCTAAGCTTGCATTCTAGGGACGCCACAAGTGATTGCTCAGTTGAGGCATTCCACGTGGTCCAATGACATGGTGGAGAGAAATCCGCTCTTGGCATGCATCAATACCGTTTGACGGTTTGGCCAATACTGTTTGGCAGTATTGACGCATGCAAGTTTAAAGAGAGGAGAGGGCAGTACAGCTATGCATCCAGCAAAGGACAACAGAGGTAGTGCGCGCTCACTCTGGGGCTGCATGGCCAACCTAGATAAGGGGCGTAAGCAGACTCTGAGGAGGTAAGCAAACTGTAGCAACTCTCTCTCTCTATAGGGCTCTGCATTCCTTCTTCCTCAAGTAAACTAATTTGACCGTCAAAGGAATTTTTCGGCAAACCACCCGCCGAGTAGCTTACTTTCGTTCTGTTCGTAGTGAGTCGGAGTTCTTTCGGAGCAAGGCGAGCTTGGTAGCAAGGCGTACGAAAGACGACGAATATTTCCCCCCGTACAACTAACTTGCTTTCTTCGGCTGGGTAGGACCACCTTAATTCAGGTAGTCACTTATGCTATCCCTAGCTACTCTATGCAAACTAATGGCCTCCCATGGCTGTTTGTAACCAAGTGGATAGAATCAAGAGAAGTAATGCCTATGCCGGAATCACCCCTAAATTTACCCATAATAACTTGGCAAGGGATTGGGGTTTAGTTGATCAATTCCTAAACAAATCATTGACATGAAATAGTTCACGTCATGTGGGGTAAATTTAGAAGTGATGTTTTAGAGGTCTTGACCATTTTCGTAATGAGAAAAAGAAACTTCACTTTATCGATTGGAAAAAAGTATGTAACAGTCAGGATAATGGGGGCCTTTGTATCAGAAAGGCCAGGGAGAACAACTTGCCTTTACTTGCAACCAAACACTCTAAGCGCGCGCACACACAAAAAAAAGAAAATCCCTACTACAAGCAACCTCTATAAGCTGCACCAAACAGTTCCAAAATTATGAGGGATAAATATTTGTGTTCTTGCTTGTTTAGAAATTGACCTATCTTACACTTGGGAGTATCATGAAAGCTAAGAATGTTGTCCTTACTGGCATGATTGGTGGAGAGGCCTCTGGCTGAGCTCTTTGAGGACAATAATATCACTAATAATTCTGATACAGTTGAGTTTTTCCTGGATGAGTTTGGGGATAGGAACCTGAACTCCACTGAACAAATCTATAATCATGATTTAAGGCTCCTCATTCTGAATACCCCCATTCCTAAACTCATGTATATGGGCAAGTCGGGTTCTGGTGATTTTTTAATCGAGAGTGCTTATGAGCAATTCCACTACCAACATGATTGCTGGACTGGATTTGGAAATTAAAGGGTCTCCTCTGCCTTGTGATCCAAGACAGGATTCTCTCCAACCACTTCAGTCACACCAGGGGTTTGTCCAACAGTTCTGATTGTGAGAGATGCCATCTTGTTAAGGAAGACACTTCTCACATTCCGAGACAATACCTTATTAGTAAGGAAGTCTGCTCTAATTTTCTTAACGCCCAAGACTACATTACAAGATGAAATAAAGACCTTATCCATTGGATAACTGATAATATCAACAAGCCTAGACTTGAGTCAGTGAATGAGATTAACTGGCCCACCCTGTTCACTTCTCTTTTGTGGCATCTTTGGGAAGCTAGAAATGAATTCATCTCTCAAAGTTATCCCTTCTAGTCAAGATGTACTCAGGAAAAGCTTTAAGTTTGCTAGTGAGATTAATGAGGCTTTATCTAAGGGCATCACCTCAAGAACCCTAAACCTGCTAGACTCCTTTACTTGGGTTTTCCATCCTGCAGGTTGAATCAAGCTTAACATGGATGGATGAGCCAAAGGAAACCCTGGTGAAGAGGGATTTTGAGGGCTGTTCAAATCAGATGAAGGTACCTGTATCCTTGGATTTGCGGGAAGCATTGGCAATGCCACAAGTTTAGTTGCGGAGATTTGGGGAATCTACTGGAACTGAAATTGGCTTTGGATATGGGATTCAAAGAAGTGATTGTGAAAACTGACTCGGCTAATGCACTGAATATCTTACAGAACAAGAACATCACACGGAAACCTTACAGAGCCATGGTAGAAGGTTGCAGATTCATTATGATGAGGCTGAAGTTCCAGATCCAGCTCACCCTTAAGCTGTATTTGGATTAATGATTTGAGAGGGGATTTGTGAAGGAAAAGGAAAAGGAAAAGGTAAGGGTAAGGGAAAAGTAAAAACAAAAAAAGTTCATATTTCATTCACTTTCCCTTTGTTTTTCCTTTCCCTCCACAAATTCCTACTCAAATACTTGATCCAAACACAGCCTTAGGAAAGGAAACTTTTGTGTGGACTTCCTAGCTAATCTGGGTGTCCAACTCAGTAGCAGTATAACTATTTATGAAGACCCTCCGCTGGGGATAGCGAACCTCCTCTACGCTGTGGCTTTCAGTAGGCCTTCATAAGGTGTTGCTTGCTTTGCTTTTGTTGTCACTATTTCCATTGAAGAGAGAAAAAAAAAAAAAAAAACAAAACAAAAAAAGGTCCAAATGTAACCAAAAAAGGAATGTAAAATCAAACCCAGAAAAACAAGAGAGATTAAAACAACTCCCAGCCAAGCACATCTAACAGCCTCATAGTCAGTTTTACAGATTTAATGGCACCACATTAAAGTATTATGGGTTGCAGCTGTTATTTAACCATATATATATATATATTAAAAGGAAGAAACAATTGATTGATACCCATAGGAGATAATTGCAGTGCCCGTACCCCACAATTATACACACCATGATTGGTGACTGGATCGAGTCAGCAAGCAGATGTGTGATTGTTGACTGGCACAAGTCACCAAGCAGATGTGTGCATTCTTCTAATGTAAGATAATCAGTACATTCAAGTCGATAGACTGAGATACATACATTTTATGTTGCTAAAGCACACACATCACGCTCACACATAGAGAGAAAGAGACAGACTTACTGGAGAACATGTGAAGCCATGAATAGTTCAGGCTCACCTCCCCATACATGTGGCTTCCGTATTTGAGATACATATGTGTCGAAATCACCTTCTACAAACCTAATCACATTGTTTAGCTATCAATTACATAACAATAGCAGAAATTCAAATATAGGTGAACCTGAAATATGTTTCTTACCTTAATAAGATAAAATGTGACATTCTGAGTGAAGAATAATAACCATTTTGCTAGATATGTATGTTATATCATATTCAGCCTTTAATCGTGTATAGTCCATTTGACAAAATTTGTCAGCACCAAAGTTGCTAGTCATGAGGAGGCCATTCACAAGGGTTCAATAAGGTCAAATTGGAAACACTCTATGAGATGACTACATACTAAGGTAGTGTTTGGTTCACTAGAATGAAAGTTGATTGGAATGGAATGATCATTCCATTCCATTTGCAATGTATTTATCATTATTTTTATAGTGAACTAAACATGAGAATGGACATTCTGATGGAATGATCATTCCATTCCATTTCATTCCAAGGAAGCAAACATAACATAAGTGACTCAGAAGTAGAATCCATGATTTGGTACGTTGGTTTCTGTTTTATGTTCTCCCCATCTTTCTTATACTAAGGGAACTCTTGTTTGCATCATAAGAGGAACATATATAAGAAAAATAGTAGTAATCATATAGGATATTCCAAGCTACTTTGTAAGATTGATACAACTCAGAAAACTCACCATTCTGACTCTTTTTGTCTTCTAACAAATTCATCAGCCACCTAAAAAAAAAGGGAGGGGGGGGGGGGGGGGGGGGGCAGAAGATCTCCAGTCAGTGGACATGGGATACAAAGTTTTCATGTGAACAAGCTTGTCCTGAGTGCACAAACGAGGCAAAAACTACTTGCTTGATAGTGTAAGGGATAGTTCAAGTTCAACATAGCAGGTCTCATATAAAAAAAATAAAAACAAAAAATAAAATAAAAATGTAATTTTATGTATGAGTGATTGATAACTGTCAAAGAATATCTACAAAGTGACAAGCAGCACAGACGCAGGATAATGTAGATACCTTAACTAAGGCTAACGAATTGAACGTTCTGTCGTGCAAGAAAAATATGTGTACTTAAACTATACAATGTTGCTCCTACCAATCTGGACTGCTTCCCCTTTGTGATAAAGTAGAAACATTAATGAAAGTGAGAGTTCCAGTACAAGAACCAGCACAAATAGTAAAGATTTTAACAATAAGATAAAGTTATAACGTTCAAGTCATAATTCAACTATAACCATTTAAGATTCGATGTGAAAATTGCATGGATTGAATTATAAAAAATAAAAAACTTAAAGTCAAATATGAATCTTGCGAGAAACAGCAATACAATTTGCAATTGAATTGTTTATATAGAATCAAACTTCTAATAAAGCGAAACGGAAAGGTACAAAGAATCTTGAACTTATTATTTTAATCATGATGAGGCATGGGGAGCATACTCTAGCCCGTAAATCATCTGCTAATTCTCTCTGACGGTTTTCATTTGGAGCTGGTTTCCCTGATCTTAAACAAGCACCATGAGCAACAGAGCGAAACAAACATCTGCCATCTCCAGGTATGCCTGTACAGGATGGAGCAAATCTAAATTTTACAAGCAAATGTTTAAATGTGCTGAAAAACAAGTAAAGAAAAAGAAGGCATAAAGCTTGGTAATAATATAATGCTCACCAGTAATAGAGTAGTCGGTGTAGACTTTCTTTCCATGGGAAAAGCTGACAGACGTGTCTTCCTTATTCTCTTCTGGCTGGGATGCTTCAGCATGTACTGGTTCAGAAGTTGAACAACAAACCAAAAGTCCAAAAATTAAGCCTGTAGATGCACATCCTCGCGGCCAAGATAGCGGTCCCACATTACATTTGACTTTGGGAATAATTCCTTGTTTTGGCACTAAAAGCTTCACATTCACGTGCTGGCAACCAAATGAAAAATCAAGGCACATTGGCTGGGATTGCCTAAAATTAACTACATTTTTAACTCTTAATGAATGCCAGTTGCTACTCTGCTTGTAAATGCATGATCCAAAACAGCTCCCCTGTGATGCTTGAAAGCCAATATCAGTATATTTTGGTTTGGAGTAACCAGTGGAAATATAAAGACAACATGAATTGGGCGGTGCTTCAGAAACGAAACCACATATGCGGTTGCTCATCTGTTTTCGTACACACCTACTCAGGTGGACCACATTTTTCAAGCGCAAGCTGAAGGGAGACCAAACCATTATGTTGGCATAGCCTAACGGGACAAGCACAAATGCAGCACCTTATGTGGCCAGAACCCACCAAGTACCGTATAGCATAATATGCCACTAAATCATTAATCTTGCAGCCAACCAAGAAACAAAAAATCAATGTTAGCTAGCTCATAATCCAAACATCTTTTCATAGCAAATAACTCAGAAACTTACATGCACATAACCGAATATGTTATATGGCCATTAGCAGTTGTAGATTAACATATTTAAGAAATCATTCATCTTTCATGAAAAAAAATATTCTTGAAAAATAGAATTCTTCCTTCAAAAACATATACCATTATCAGTTGGTGCATAGTTGTTAGCTAAACCTAAACAAAAGGGAATCAACTTAGACCCCATTAGTAGTGGTGAGTGAGCAAGACTAGATTAGGGATTTGCAAACAAACAAACACCAAGGTTCATTCCTCTAACAATAATTATCCCAAAAAAAAAAAGTTCATTCCTCAGCAAAGTGTTCACTTATTTTTTTTATTATTTATTTTTTTTTTATGTTGTTTTATTTTGTTTTTTGTTTATTTATTTATTTATTTTGTTTAGGTAAGAGTTATTGAATTAGTTATGGATTGGATGATGGAAAAATCAGTAAAGAAAAATCACTTGGAAATTTCTTCTCTTAAATAGGTTACCTAGGATACCCATTTCACCCAACTAGGCCACTCATTGCATTATAACTAACAAAATCATGAGTTTAGAGTGGAATTCACCAAAAATTCACAACTTGACTTGGTCAAATTCATGATTTGACTACAACTGAATTCCAAAATTGTTTCAAGTTCATGTAGTGAATTGAGTTTGTGACTTTAATGGGTCAAAGTCGCAACTTTGATCAAGTTGAAGGCAAATTGACTTATTAGGGGTGGAACTGAAATTTTAAGTTGGGAAGTTCATAATCTTTTGGGTTAATATTGAAATTTTAAAATTTCTATAGGCGATATGGTTATTTCTTTGGAGTTCAAATACATTACCAATATTAACTAGATAATTTCAAACTAGGGAATCTTTTTGCTCATATTCCATAACATACAAAGGCCATTAAACCAAACTAGCAGTTTACCTCTTTATGTATTCTACTTTGATTTTCCAATTATTATAATTTATTTTAATATGTATGTACATATTCATTACATTTATGTTTGTATATATATTGCCGCTATGCATGCGCACTGGACTGCATGAATTCTTGAAAACAGCTGCTCGCCATATGCACTATTTAACAGATCTCTGTGACTAATGCAATAATGCATGGATACTACATTACAAAAATATATCCCTAATAAATTGTTTGTTCATTAATAGATGAATTTATGCAGTGAATACTCTGGCGAATTGTAGAAGAAAACTTCTGTGCTGGTGTCTTTTTTAAATTTATTTAATGCCTAGCCCCAACAACAAAAGAATCATGCACATATACTCCTATATGAAAATGCACTACTTCGAGATAGCAACGTATACACCCATCAACCACTCATACATCTATAATTGCAGTCAATAGATTTCTATGTACTAAAGAAAAAGTATCTCTTTACCTCAGTTTTTCAATATTTTTTCTCAACTAAAAGAGCATCATGCATGGTTATTTTGTTAGCAGTTGATACTCCTCCACATGAAAAAAGCAAAAATTACAAATTCAGGATGCAAAACTTTTTTAGTAACAAGCTACTACAAGGAACATATACAAAACCTTGTCTAAGAAATATTCTCCTTATGCATAGCATAGTGCATACACTTGTTATTTGTTTAGACAAGTATGTTCAGTATGGATATACTCATTCAGGTAAAAAGGTAGTAACTATTTGGAGAGAGAGAGAGAGAGAGAGAGCGCATTGAAACACAAATGCAGTGAAGGATAAGAAGAATCACCAATGTCTAATTGGAGAAAGTTTCAAGATTTTATTTAGAAATTAAAAAATAAAATCAATAAACTTTTTATACTATTTAGAAATTTCATGAAAAATTAAATTAAATATGTCCTAATGTCTATTGTAAAGTTAGCATTATCTTCATAGCTTCCACACAATGACACACCCCCACACCGAATATCTTTGGAATAATTGTGCATAGATCCTTTATCTAGAACATCCACAGCAACTGAAACTTCATACCAATAGATAGTCTTTGGTATGCATATATAGGTTTACATATACAGGGAGAGACGATAGGTGAATGATTAGACAATAGGCAATATTGACCATAGAGACAGCTTTGTACCTATGGTCAGAGTGTGGCAATATATATACTAGTTGTATTCCCTGCGGTTTAAAATCTATTTTAGATTTGACACCTAAACCTATTACAACACTTCATAGGAGAAGTATTTTAAGTTAATAGAATGAAGGAAGATCAAGAGTTGACTCAACTTGGCCACTATCCTCGTCCTTGAATTAGATTGACCAAAGAAATAAAAACCAAAATGAAATACTTGTTAATGAAGTCAAGAATAAAAACAAAGTGTCAAGAATTATGCAGTTGCAAATATAGGTGAGATGAGACATAAAATCATTGATATTACTGGGACATAATCATGGCATGTATGTTAACTTATCAACTGTCAAAAAGGACTATTAGGGTGTTGAAAGAGGTTCAATGAGACTATGGTGAAAGGGGCTGCCCTCAAACTCAAACCCAAACCCGCTGTCCGCATTCCCACACATTGCAGCCTCAGGATTCCCTATGGTACCAATTGTGACATTTTGAGACAAACCAACTAGGCCTAGCCTAGTGGGCCACCATGACTCTCCCAAGGGCTTAGTCCCAAGCGGAGGTCATGGATTCAACACTCCCTAAGGGGGAGTTGAATTAAATTGCAAGCACTTGATGCTTTGCAAGGGTGAGGAGGCTAAATTCCATAGGTGCTAATCTAACGATTTAACGATTAACAACTGGATAAAAAAGAAAAAATAGAAAAAAGCAAAAAAGAGAAGACATTTTGAGGCAGGTTGCATTTGAAAGATAGAAACAATCAGAGCAACATCAAATGGATAATGCATACACAGCAACACCAAATTGTATACCTATATAAAACGTGACTAAGGGATGAAACCTGTTAATTACTCAATTAGTAAAGACAATAGTGGCATGACTTACAATAAAAGAAGAGAAAAAATCTAAGCCCAGATAAAGAAACCCTGCATAAAACTTGCTATTGGAACCCAGATGTATAATATACACATAACATAAACGTGTGTATTTGTGTGTATATAATATATATGCTATGAAGGATAAAGGGAAATGAAACCAGTTGAGTCCTCAACCACAGAAGACAACAATGGCAAAATATTATAAGGTGAGTGAAAAACTAAATCCAAGATAAAGAAAGTATACTCTTTAAAACTTGCCGTTGAAACTAATGGAAAGCTCCAGATTCTAGAGGAGGGAGGAAAGCTCTTCAAGCAAAGAATCCCCTATGAGAAAGCCTTGGTGGCGTTTGAAGAAGAAATGGGATAATTTTTGTAAGGGGCTGTTTGGACGTGTTAATATAACAAGCAGATCTGGAGGTTAGCCAGGGAGACCGTAGAAATCAGAACCATCCAAACACACGGCTCTTGAATTGGATGAGGTGGTATTAGCGGTCAACAAACTTCGGGCTGAGCCGGGCCGGGTTTAGCCAAGTTTGGATCGAGTTGATATTACATAATAAAGTTTTTTGGGTCTGTTCAGATTTGGTTTGTCCCGAATATCGAATCTCTATATCTGTTCAAGTTCAGCTTAAAAAATAATTATAAATCTCTAACTCATCGGATATATACTTCAAAAAATTAAATAATTATATAATTAAATTTAATAACACATTATATTTCTTAAATAAATATATTCACATCATTATAAATTGAAAATTTCTATGTATAAATTGAAAATTTTCTTAAATAAATTTTGTGGAAGCAAAAATATATTAATTAAGAGATCAACAAGAGATGAGTCACATCGTTCCGAATCTGGCAAAGAATAAACAGTTAGTACCTTCTGATCGGCAGTTGCCGGCCGGAGGGCATTCCAACAATCAAGTTAAATAGTATATATCTAAATGAAGCTGAATAAGTAAATAAAATAGTTTAGGCATACCTCCCACTGGAGTAGAAGATTACATCCTCTTATATAGGCTAACTTGCTACTCATTTTGTCCAATGAGCTTAAGCCATCAATTTTGTCCAATGTGCCAAAAATGAGTCACTTGTATGGCCAAAAACCTTTCTGATGCATATATGCCAGAGCAACTTGGCAAGTTGTATTGCAAGATATTAGTTTATTACCTTAATTCTATTTCTATGTAGGCATTGGGTGGACCCACCTCACAGGGTTAATTTTTATCTCTCAACAATTGCCACAAGTTTTCACTTCAGTTAATCAAAGTGAGAAAAAGTGGAAACTTCTCTTATCTCTGGTAGACTTCTTTATCTCTATTATTTCCGTAACCGAAGGAGTTTTTTGTCCTATACTTGTCATAAAATGACTTTGTAACAGTTGATTTTGGGTAACCGCTCGAGCGGTCACTTGGTCGCTCGACAGAGATTTGTAGCTCCCAGTATCTCAGAGGTTTGCAGGCGAGACCGCTTGAGCGAAGGAAAGGTCGCTCGATTGTAAAATGCGAGCTCCTAGTATTTTCACTGTAACTCTATAAAACATCTAAGACTTTGTGTTTATCGCTCGAGCGATGGAAAGTTCGTTCGAGTGGTCCCTTTGTATTTTTGGCACTTCGCTCGAGCAATGAAAAGTTCGCTCGAGTGGTCTGGTCGGGACAGTAGAGTTATGTTGCAATCCAAATCCTTTCTAATTCATTTCTCTTGCACTCCTTCTCTCTCTAGCAGCCCTCTTTCCAAAACCCTAGCTACAAAACATTAGATTTCATCTAGTAAGAGCAATAATCAATCTTTGGGCCTTCATTAAAGCTGTTATCCTCGTCAAGAGCTACGTTTTGAACCGATTAGATCGTAGCATTTCAATAGCTTATTGTCACGACCCAAACCCGCCCCTATGGGTTTAGTACCATAACCGGCCAGTAATCCGAGATTACCGAAGGCCTGCTTAACAGTAAAACAGTAATACAGAGTACAGGGGCTGGCGGAAGCCAATACAGTAATTAAAATATGTCCAATGAGTTGTGACAGTCTGTATGCAAAAAGACTTTTCATACATATATACAATCAGTGCAAAACAGTATGTACAACATTTACAATGGTTCAGGACAGGGACTTAATCCCTGTTAAAACAGTACAGTAACAGTGTAAACAGTCTATACAAAACAGAACAGAAATGGGGAAACTAAAACACCCCAAAGCCCTAGCTTGAACGGCTCGGAACCTCGTAGTGAGGCACATAAGTTGGCTTGACAAAACTGGAGTTTACCCCAACGCTTCTAGTAACGGTCCGGTGCCTGTACACCTACATATATATATATGAGCAGTGAGCTAAAGCCCAGTGAATAATATAATGCGTAAAGAGGTTAAGAATGAATGTCCTTATAGTATTGAAAACAATCATTTCAATCAGTATATCAGTTATTCAGTCGTTACAGTCATATGTGGTACATCCAGTAGCAAAACAGTACAGTAGGTCTTATCAGTCTTATCAGACCGAACAGTCAGTTGATGGCCATTATAACAATAAACAGTAGTGGTTCCAACATGGGAACCGACAGAGATCTCTGTGACAGTAGCAATACAATACAGTAACAGTGGGTTGCTAAGGATGCCACAATACAGTTCACAATTAGGACATCATTCATTCAGTAACAGTATCATTCCAGAAAACAGTACAGTTCAATTGTTCAGAAGATAATTATATTTGAACATATCTTTACACAGTTGTTACTCACAGAGTTCTAGGCTACAGTTAAGCTAGAGCGCGTCCTCAGATGCCAACCCTACACAGTTACAGAGTGAACACACACTAAGCTATACAGTTGGGAAAATAGTAACTTAATCCCTAACTCGACTCGGTGTGATTCTACATCTATATCCTCATTAAGATACCTTAAACTAGGCCTAAGAATGCCTAGGATGAAATGAGGATGCAAAGATGTACTTTAAAAGCATTTTCAGAATTTTCAAAAAATAGGGGTTCCGCTCGAGCGTCGGTTACTTCGCTCGAGCGGACATGCAGACAAAGGTTTCCGCTCGAGCGTAGACTTACCCGCTCGAGCGTACTGCAAAACAGTCAAAAGTGCTGGATGTGCGAAAATCACGCTCGATTGGGCTCTAGACACCCGCTCGAGCGTAATACACAATGTCCCGCTCGAGCGTTAATTGTTCCGCTCGAGCGAACTTCAAAACAGTGCAAAGTGCTAGGAGCATGAATTTCACGCTCGAGCGCCAGTAACCCCGCTCGAGTGTGAGTTCAAAATCTGGAATTCCCAGATTTGAACCTCAAGCTCAAATTCAACTTTAAGTGTATCAAATTCAATTCCTTTGGGCCTATTTCCTGGAAAACGCTTGTAAATACATATTAAATTCAATTCCTTTGGGCCTATTTCCTGGAAAACGCTTGTAAATACATAGTATGACATGATTTAAAGCTCAATTTGTAAAATCAAGGCCCAAAGGTAGTTCAAACAAACTCAATTCCAAACCAAACTTTCAAGAACATGATGAACATGTACATGCATGAATTCAACAACTTCAAAGCTTCAAATGCTAGCTCAATTGAGCCAATTCTTCTAAAATCATGGTGAATTCATGGTCCATTTGCAAAAACATGAACATACATGTGAATTTCATGAACAATAGCTTCAAAACCCAAGAATGGAAACATGCATGCATGAAATGAGCTTCAATTCAACACATAGAACCAATTCTAGACTTTAACTCACTAAATTTCCATGATTCATGAAGATACAACTTAAATACATCAAAGAAGGGTTGAATTCTCTACCTTAGGTCTCCAATCACAAGTCTAGAGGCTCAATTTGCAATAACTCTATAATTCTTCAAGTCACCAAACCAAAATCAACAAGTTGAACTCAATTCCTCTCACCCTTTCCCTCTCTTCTCTCTTGGTCGGTTTGCTCAAGGAAAAGGCTAAGGAAAAGTTGTAATGCTAACATATAGAAATCAAATACAAGGTCCTAGATTTGTCCACTAAGTGGCCAATTAGTAAATAAGTCCAACTCTTGTAAATTAGCTCATTTTAGTCTAATTTAATCATACCAAATCATAATTCAGATAAATATGCCGTAAAATCACATAAATTACGATTAACACATATCACTAATCAATTTCAGATTCGGCCACCGATAAGGCCTTCAATTTGCAGTTTAAACATAAAACACGAACAGATAATTTAAACAGTCAACAGATAGAAATGCATTTAAACTAGTACGTTCAATCAGTCAGTTCAGTATTTCAGTTGATTCGATTACTTGTCATAATCAGTCTCAGTTTAGCAGTAATCGGTGGTGAGGGTTATTACACTTATTGTGTGGATCATCATCTCCCTTCTTACCGTTGTATATTTATACTTTGGTCTAATGTGTACGAATCTTAAGGTGTATGAACTATTGAGATAGATGATGTATATATATATATGGTTTTTGTGTTGATGAAGTGGTTGTGTGAAAATAATGATGGATAGTGTAATTAATTATGAAACAGTGAGTAAATACACATGAATTAAGGAAAATAAACACTAGGAAATGAATGCCCCAAACTTTCATATGTAACCCTAAGGGTTGTTCTTGATTTTGACTTAATAGAAAGTTGATAAGTAAAATTGGACAGTCCTCGTGATTATTTGTATTGTGCTTAAAATGTTTATGTTTTGGAATGTGTTAAAGTGCCCACTTGCCCGGTTCGTGTGACGATGATGAATGTGGGAATGTGTCTGAAGTGCCCACTTGCCCGGTTTGCGTTAGGGCGACAAATGTAGGGATGTTGTGAGGTGTCCGCTAGCCAGTTCGTGTGAGGACAACGAAAGTGGAAAGTTTGAGGTGTCCACTGGCCATCTATGTGAGGACAAAAAATTGTAGAGATTAAATGTTGAATTGTGTGTTGTATAATAGCTTTTAAACCAAGGAAAATTCATGGGCATTAATAAAGGTCATACATATTTAAATAAAATGTTTATATACTTGGCTAAAGTTATTCTATACTAGGCAATTGCTCATTCCTATTTATCAACATTTCAGGAAATGAAGAACTCCTAAACCGTCAATAAAGAAAAAGAAAATGACTACCGCTTTTCAAAAAAGCTAAACTTTTTGTAAAATTGAAGTTGTAATGCAACTGTGGAACTCATTTTTCTACTTTTATTTTGGGTTTTGTATTTTTGTATTAAATGTCTCAAAAGGCAATGTAATAGTTTTGAAATTTTTTCTAACTTATTGAACTGAGATCTGTATCTTGTACTTTTGTAAACTGAATCTGTAGTTTAATGAGAAAGAGAAACACTCGAATGGAATTATGTGATGTGTGTGTGGGGCGTATGTTCTTGTAATTGTTCCATGGGAATTAAATGTATAGGGCGCTACAAATTTAGTATCAGAACTAACCGAGTTGAATACCTGGAGCTCGTGGAAAGTGACTTTGT